AAAATTCACCATAAATTAATGAAAAGTCAGATCAAAGCCAAATTAACTTTTGCATCCGTTTTAGAGGGTGCAGAAGCTAATCCAAGCATTTAAAACCATTTTTGACCCTTTTATGACACACTTAATTTTGCAAAAATTGACTTCGCAAAGCCATTAAAATGTATTGAGTCAGCTTCAATACATTCCAATGGAGGATACATTGTTTCGCTTAGCGATGTTTCCTATGGGTTTTTTCGCTTAACGACGGCAATCCGTTCCAATTGGAACGGATTAACCGGTTTCCAATGCATTCCTATGGGAAATGGTGTTTCGCATAGCAATGGTTTCACATAGCGATTTTTTTTTGGAACCAATTAACATCGCTATGCGAGGCACCACTGTATGTACATGTATACATGCCAGTGTTATCTTCTCCCCCCCAGGGGTATGTCAGTATAAAGGTTCTGAATGTTTGTTTTCTGATATGGGTGTAATCAGTCATATGGGAGGCTGCATATTGGATGGACCAGGAAATGTAATAGGTGGGAAATGTTTTTGGGTGGAAAGTATTCCAGGGCAGACTTGTGGGTGAGATGTTTCCTGCAGTCTTCTGTGCATGCCTCTTTCTTTTAAATCTTTTATTTTCAATTGCATAGAGCAGCAGTGGTTCAATTTGCATAGAGCAAAACTCAGCATTAAAGCCAGTTTGCAGGCACAGCACAAAGAGAGTAATATCTGACCTAGGTCTGGTAACAAAATAGCCCCTTCCTGTTTCCAGTGGGCGTTGTTTCAAATTGTTGATTACTTCCCCTATTGGTGACATCAGTCTCTTCCTAGGTAGTTTGGGACCTACATCATCATTTCTAGGTCTGCAATGTGTGTTTACTGTTGGCACTAAGATGTCAGCAGTGGATCACTTATATTAAACCAATGAGAAAATCGGCACAGAGTTAATTTGTTAAATCAATTAATTGTTAATTTTTAAAACATCATTTAAAATTACTAGAAATAGCCATAATAGTTTAACGTAGCATTAAGAAACATTGTTACTCAGGAAGAATGTTGTTGCCCTTGCCTGGTTATAACAACATCATTATAAGTTGTTAGAAGTGTGTTCTAAATTCATTGATATAAGTTTTCATGAACTTGGCATGATTAATGAATTATTTTCAAGCCTTAAAAAATTAAACTGGGCAGATGATGTTCCCATACTGGATGAACAGATAGGTATGTCACTTTATAAGAAAATACAGATACCCATACATATTCTCCAAGCAGAATCACACCATCTTCTCTGTGTTGCTTGCATGTCATGGAGGAAGAGTGCATCATGTACAATAGCGTTATGGAACATCTAAGAATCATCTAATCAGGGTTGTCTTTACCTGTGTCTTGCACCTCAGCAGAAAATATAGAGAGGGGTGTGTGTGCGTGTGTGCGCACACTCCTGATAAAGCTAAGTGGTCAATGCTCATTATCAGTAATACCAAACCACTGTAGATATTTAAGAGTATGGATGGTGATAAAATAAGCTACATCAGTGTTTCACTATATAGTGATGTGCCTAGCAATGATCAGCCTCAAACAAGTATTCTGTTCAAACTCAAACAATATTAGGTACTTCCAGGGAGACAAATGCAACTTTCCTGAGTTGTCAAACATAAAAAAATTTTAACTTCCAGTCATGTCTCTTCCTTAAATCAGTGCATGTCACAATTAAGACCACTCATCACAATTACTATTGTTTTGTGTCCTTTCTTTTTATATGAATGTATTCTCCAGTGTTAAAACGTCCTGTGAATAACAAAATTGATTGTAAAAGCCAATTACACTTACAATGGAAGGTGTCATTACACAGAACTGCATGCCATTACAGTTTAACTTGAAACTGTGTTGTCTCATTGCTGGTTGGCCATGCTCAGCCTAGATGTGGTTATATTTTGCTTATTTGTCATCTCTTCTTTGTATTAGAAAAGGGTATATTGTAATCCATGCAACTTTCAGTGGACGTAACTGGACTTAATCATGGAGTTAACATAACTTCATTGTGTCAGTTTTTTAAAGTATTGAAAGTGGACTTCCATCATGCTTCTCTGTACCTTTTTTTTAAAAGAATAGATGCAATTTTAGGAATGTTTTAAATTTATGATGGACAACATCGTTTTACTAGTTGTGCTGTATTCTGTATTTTACTTGAAGTAAATCATTTTATATGCAATTTGTTAGTATAATTACAGTTTTATAAATAAAATTGAATGGCATTTTGGGTTTGCATTTTCCTCCTTATGTGCAAAATTGTTCCATTAAAAAAGCAATGTTTTAAAAAGCAATGGCAAGTATGGAATCATGCAAACTTAGTACACTTAGAAATAACTGCATATAATATACATCTGCTAACAGACTGGGGGAATTAAGATCACAGTGGCCATAAGTGTAGAAGTCTGCTTAAGAATTTTTGCTTTTATTTGTAGAAAAATAAGAAACATTCTAGTGCCATGGTAGGCACAAAAAAAAAGGAAAGAAAAAAAGGTTCATAAAGCCCCCTTGTTCTTTCTGGGAATGTGGTGGATAATGTTGCCATGTTCTGATCTCCCCATGTATGTGTGCTTTAAAAAGTGTTTGACCTCCTGTCTTGACAATAAGAAATCTTGTCCAGCAATTCCTTTTGCTTTGGTGATATGTTTCTTTCAGTAACTTATAAAAATTGGTGTTTGGAAAAGTCAGCCAGCCCTTTTATACTATAACTCCGAAAATCACCCAACCAGCATGGTTGTCCCATGCTGTGAGCCAGCTAAATTGTGGAAACAAATGCATGAAGGCAAAAGTCATGCTGTTTCTTGAGATTTTTTTTAACCAATTCAAAGTACACAAGGCCTATCTTTCTCTGGGTGATGTAAGGTTGCTCATCTTTCCAATCAACCATCTGCCCGTAGATCGATGCTACAGATATACTGAATTACTGAAAGAGAAAGGTCAGGCTTTATTACAGTTGCTTTCCCTGCAGTGGTACTTTGCTCTGTGTAGTTTCTGCAGATTCTATGGTAGAGATGTATTTATTTACTGTATTTTTTGCTCCATAGGACACACCTCTCCATAAGACACACCTCATTTTTAGGGGAGGAAAACAGGAAAAAAAATATTTTGGCAATTTCAGCCTGCTGTACCCACAGGGGTGGAGATGGGGGGAGCCTTGGAAGGGTCCAAGAGTGCCTTCCAGGACCCTTCGGAGGCTCCCCCCCGTGGGGGCGAGTTCGCCAGCTTCCAGGACCAAAGGGTCCTGGAAGGTTTCAATTTTGCCCCTGCTGGCCCCGTGGGGGTGGGTTGGTGGAGCCTCTGAAGGGTCCTGGAAGGCACTTTCAGACCCTTTGGAGGCCCCCACCCCCCGCTGGGCCCTGGGGAGCGCTGTTTTACAATATTCACTCCATAAGATGCAGGCACTTCTCCCCACTTTCTTTGGGGGTAGTGCGTCTTATAGAGTGAAAAATACGGTATTTGGAATCTGTGGATCAATGACTGCTTTCAAATCTTAGACTCCAGCAACAGATTGCATGATTTTAGAAGAGGTGCTGCTCCAAGCAGCAAAAGCATAGCATAGCATGTCATAGCATGTGATTTTTCTCACATCTGCACTTTGCATTTACTGGGCTTCATTTTGTGACTGGGCTCACTGGTTTGACCC